TGTAACGACCCGACCGGTCGTTTTGGGCCCTAGCGTGTCGTTCAGCAGTCTGAGGCCATGAGCAGCTTCATTTCAGGTATTATGACTTGTACGCGTGGCCGGGATTGAATTGCGGGAAGTTCAGAGTTGATTTGGAGAGAGAATTCTCATTTCGGAAGCTTAAAGTTGAAAGAATTAACTAGGATTGGATTTTTGAGTAAACAACCTCGTAATCGGGATCTGAAGGCTCCAGCAGGTTCGTATGATGATTTCGGACTTGGGCGTAAGCCCGGATAGGGTTGTGGATGACCCGGGAGCGTTTTGGCGCCCATTGTGGAAGTTAGCATTTTGGAAGAAATTTGATAAGTTTGGCTTGAAGTGCATTTCAGTGTTATCGATGTCCGTTTGGGATTCTGAGTCTGGGAGTAGCTCCGTATGGTGATTCTGGAGTTGGGAGCACGATCGGAAGTGAATTCGTAGGTCCGTAGGTCATTTTGGAGCCATTTGGCTAAAGATAGAAAATTGAAGGATTTTGGAGAAGTTTGACCGGAAGTGGACTTTTTGATATCGGGGTCGGATTCTGATTTCGGAAGTTGGAATAGGTCCATAATGTCAAATATGACTTGTGTGCAAAATTTGAAGTCAATCGGACGTGATTTGATAGGTTTCAGCATCGAAAGTAGAAGTTTGAAGTTCTAAAGTTCATAAAGCTTGAATTGGAGGTTGATTCATGATTTTAGCGTTGTTTGATGTGATTTGAGGCCTCGAGCAAGTCCGTAATGTGTTTTGGGACTGGTTGGTGTGATTGGTCGGGATCCCGGGGGCCTCGGGTGTGTTTCGGGTTGTATCGCGCACTTATTTGATGTTTCAACGTCGTTTCTTTGGTCATAAAGGGGTGCCATATTAAGCAAATGGGCTCCAAATTAAGTTTTTATTGAGCCATTAGATCCGTATCGTAATTTAGGAGCCATAGCAAAAAGAATCGTCGAATTTGGACATCGTATGAGGGAGTTATGCTCATTTCTGTGTCGAGAAACTGCTGGTTGCTGTCATAACCGCAGATGCGGAAATTTTCCGAAGACGCGGGACCGCAGATGCGGTCAAATTTTCGCAGATGCGCAAACTGCTGGAGGCAGAGAGGTTTCTTTAAAAATCGAAGTTTGGCTCATTTTCACTTCATTTCTTCCATGGGAGCCGATTTTGGAGCAACTTTGGAGTGCCATTTTCATCACCAAGCATGAGGTAAGTGATTTCTACTAGTTTTGAGTATATACAAGGTTTTGTATATGGATTTAGACCTGGAAAATTGTAGAAAACTTGAGGTTTGAGGGAAAACCTAGAAAACTAGTATTCTTGGATTTTGACCACCATTTTGGGTATGAAATTTAGAGAAAATCATATATTTGAGTTCGTGAGGCTATGGGTAAACTTTATCTTCGAAAAATTTCGGATTCCGGGCACGTGGGCCCAAGGGCGTTTTTGTCAACTTTTCGTTCGGGGTTGGGAATTGCTATAAATTGGATTGTAATGAGTAATTGAGCATATATTAATGGATTTGTATAATCATTGGCTAGTTTTGGAGCGTTGTGTGTCGATTTAAGTCTTCGGAGGAGCGTGGAATGCCGGTTATGGATCTTCGGAGCGAGGTGAGTCTCCTTTCTAACCTTGTAAGAGGAAATTGTCCCCATAGGTGAATTAATTGGTTATGTGCTCCTATTTGTGGGGGGCTACGTACGCACGAGGTGACGAGAGTCCGTGCGTAGCTACTATTATGCTACTGTCCGGGTAGTATAGGACCCAAAAACATGCTATACTTGGATTAATTGTAAACCTATTGACAGCTCGAATTACTTAAACCACATCGAATTAATAAATAAAGTTCAAAAAGGATTAAACTTCTTTTCTTAAATTGTTAAAAGAGAAAGTGGCTTTTATTTGAATAAATATTCCCTGATAAATTCTTAATTTGCTATCTGAGCATGTATTTCCATGTGTACCTGCGTCGCATGCATGATTCGCGAGCAGGGTGATTGTTTAATTTATGTTGACCGCGTCGCATGGATAGTTCGCGAGCGGGGTAATAGATGCATCTATGGTTTGCGCCGTTCGACCCTCGGCAGTGCACAGTTTATTTTCTGTTGGAGCGGGCCGTACGCCTCGGCATGATTTGCGCATGCTTGTATTGTTGCCTTGAACTTATTGAAGTTGTTATTGCCTCTTCATGTCTTGAGAATATTTGGATAAATAATGAAAAGGAATTTTGGGAAACTTCCTATAAAATAAATAATTGTTTACTTGTTTCCTCCTATTGGATTAAAAATCATGTTTATAAGAGTCCACGATTTAATGAATTATTGACATCATTATTGGACCACTAGTATGTGTCGAAGTTGACCATCTCGTGTCTACTTCTTCGAGATTAGACGAGATACTCATTGAGTACACGTTGTTTTCGTACTCATACTACACTTCTGTGCATTTTTGTTGCACAGGTATATATAACTCTAGTGGCCTACTGGGCGTAGCAGCACAGATGATTTGGGGACTAGGTGAGTTGCATTATTCGAGGCGGCCCGCAGCGAGTGTAGTCCCTTCCAGTATATTGTATTTACTCTCTGTCCACTGTATTCCGAACGGATGTTGTATTATATTATTTCATAGAAATTGTTCATGCACTTGTGACACCGAGTTCTGGGATGGTTTTGAAATATTTTGTATTAATTACTTATTATTTAATTTGAATTGAAGCAGTTGTCTCTTTACTTATGAAATTAGAAGGAAAATCTGGGTTTTCAAAATTTTCTAAATTGGAATCTAATTAAGTATTTTAGTTGGCTTGCCTGACAGCAGTGTCCGGCGCCATCACGACCCTTAGTGGATTTTGGGTCGTGACAACATGGTATCAGAGCATTAGGTTCCTAGGGTCTCACGAGTCATGAGCAAGTCTAGTAGAGTCTCGCGGATCGGTACGGAGACGTCTGTACTTATCTTCGGGAGGCTGCAGGACTATTAGGAGTACTTCCCTTCTTGATTGCTTATCGTGCGATTTGATCCTTGGAGGCGTATGCCTTTAGTTCATTCCTACTCAATCTTACGCGACGCGAACCGCTTGTTATAAATCGAGAATTGAAGAACCGTAATGGTACTACAAATGTGATACGGGATATTTCTCCCGGTATAGCTGATCGGATTATTATCGTCGCTTTGTAGAAGGATATTTTATTGTTTCAGCCCAGTAGCGGTACTTTTGAGGGCTCTGAGGCTATGCACAAGTTGCCATGATGCTTACAAACGATGTTCTGCAGTATTGATATGATGGTAGAACGTATGCCTACGTGACGGGGCAGTGAATGACTTGAAGGGAGGTTTACTCAGTGCATAATCAAGAGATTCAGTATTTTATTCCCGGCAGGGGAAAGGCAATCAGACTAAGAGTGGTCAGATGTGGGCTAGTGGAGTAATGAGACTTGGTATTTGCAAGCGTGGTGGAGCTTTCTTCTATGATGGGGTGTCGTTGTCCTAATTGAACATACTAAGTTTGTCGGTGTTATGATCTTCCACAATTCGCCTTTTGGGGCAAGATATTGTGAAACAGTATTGGAGATACAGCTGTCAGATTATCGCAGGGTGCGATGGTTTAGGATGGAATCAGTATTTCTAATGTTGACGGTTCGAGAAAGATGACCTTCAGAATGGTTTAAATTTAGCAGCAATTATGGGTTCAAGTGCCACGAAGATAGATTTTATTTAAGGCAGCATCTGAGCAACAAAGGATGAGGAAGGGCATGTGGGAAGTGTCAGGCGGTGGCTAAAATTTCTAGAGGGCCGAGTATAAGAGGCCAAGGGTCGAGTAGTCGATTAAAGGGATGAGTTCCGCCAAAGTGGGAGAGTGGCGGAGTTGCATATGGACATTAGGGTAGGATGACTATGCGCCTTAAGGAGAGTCGGGGATGACTTGGGAATTTAAGTGATTTGGTGATTGAGGTCTACAGATTTAATTTTGAGCATGGGCTATTATGCGGCAGGAGATTTGATATAACGGGAAGGAGCTGCTGGAAAAGAAGAAGGATACAACATAGATTTAAACTGGAAGAATGTTGCCGCACGTTTAATTGATGTCCACTAGGGGTGAATGGACTTGTGCAGCTGGAGAGTGAGCTCGGACTCAGGATGGGTTATTGATGTCGTAGTGATTGTACCCCGTACAGCAGCGTTGGAAGATATCGGGGAGTGATTTCTACAGGTGGGTTATTCCTGTGAGTAGGTTAGCGGCCGTGTGGTTGGCAAGGCTTCTGCAAAGAATTCTAGTGGTTATACAGCGAAGATGTCGGTCGTGCAAATGTGGTTGATGATTCAGACTATAAAAAGGGGGTTTTACAGTAAGATTCCGAGAATTTTGGCGGTTGATTGCGCAAGGTTACGTCAATAAGAGATAAAGAGTCCTGGTGAATGCCAGAGTTGCGCAAGAGGAGCCAAGATTCCATTTGATAAGTTCTCTCTAGAAAAGTTGACTCCCATATAACTACAAACGTTATCTATAAAGAATATTCAATTTGTTGCGTTGGTCCAAACTTTTCCACACTAGATCCGATAAAGTATTTGATATTACACGTTTGGCCATTCTACATCACTGTCAGAAAGAGAATCATCCACCTTGTTGCATATTTTGGTTAATTATTCCCTTTATTTACAGACATTGCCATTCATTTCATATATTGCTTGTCTTCACTTGTTCAATTATTCATAAGAACATCATTAAACCACTCTTTGGCTTTAAATACGATTTCTAGGTGGTTATTTCCTACCGATCTTTGATCTAGAACTTATTATATTTAACTAGAATTTATCTATTATCATTCACTTAATTAGTTTAACAAAAAGGTTCAAGACTTTTTGGTCAAACAATTTGGCGTTGTCTGTGGGGACTTTCTAGTTAAAACTTTAGTCTCTTCTATATTTAAGAAGAAAAGCGCATAAAACTTTGCAAAATCTGGTGTTTCCCTTGTTTGCACAAATCTGACATGACAGGCAACGGAGAGGAAAGGAGGAAAGCAGTAGCTGACACTACTGCCAACCTCCTCCGCACCATCAATGAAGTGGAAAACGAGGACATGACACCAAACACATCTCACGGAAGCTTAGACCCTACTTCCAGTGCCACCCCATCTCGGTAGTAACAACATTTCCCCTAAGGAGTATTCTGCACAAGCCCGATCTATCAGGCCGATTGGCCAAATGGGCTATAGAACTCAGCAAGCACGACATAACCTATCAGCCACAAACGACGATAAAGTCACAAGTGCTCGCCGACTTCGTCGCCAACTTCAGCGCAAAAATAATGCCCAAGTTGAAATGGAAGCCGCCCACACTCGCACCGAACTACATGACCTATGGATACTATACACAGATGGCTTGTCAAATGCCCTGGGATCGGGACTGGGACTCGTACTCGAGGTCCCGACTGGCAAAGTAATTCGCCAGTCCATTCGGTGCCCAGACATGACTAACAATGAGGCCGAGTATGAGGCCGTGATTGCAGGCTTAAAACTAGAACTCGAGTACGGAGCGAGATGGGCCGTCCTACGGTGCGACTCTCAGCTCGTCGTCAATCAGGTCACAAGGACTTTCCAAATAAAAGAACAGAGGTTGCAAAAATATCAGGTCGAGATCTGCAAGCTATTACCCCAGTTCGACGAGTGCCAACCTGACCAGATCCCACGAGCCCAGAATGTTGAGCAGACGACCTCGCCAAGTTGTCCACGGCCACTAGAAACATACCCGAGAAAGGGAACGTGATTACCCTCCTCCACTCATCGATCGACCAAATCGAGGTACGAACTATAAACTTTACTTGGGATTGGCGCAATCGCATTATCTCGTATTTGCAGGACGAGATACTCCCGACAGATAAAAAAGAATCCAAGAAGCTGCGAATGCAAGCGGCTAGATACAATATCATTAACAACGACCTGTACAAAAGAATGTTTGGTGGCCCTCTGGAGAAATGCTTGGGACCAAAACAAATGAGGCGCTTCCTCTAGGAAGTACACGAAGGTCACTGCGGAGCTCATACCGGCAACCGAGCTCTAGTCAGATGCCTCTACGAGCGGGCTACTATTGGCCTACGATGAAAAAAGAGGCCGCTGACTTCGTCAGAAGGTGCGAGCAATGCCAAAAATATGCACCAATGATTCACCAGGCGGGCGAGCACCTTCACTCAGTCACTTCGCCCTGTCCATTCATCAAATGGGGAATGGATATCGTAGGACCCCTCCCAGCGGGACGAGGTAACATACGATTCCTTTTAGTTTTAACTGATTATTTTTCTAAGTGGGTGGAAGCAGGTGCTTTCGCCCAAATAGGCGAGCAAGAAGTAATCACTTTCATATGGAGAAACATCATATGCCGCTTCGGCATCCCCAAAGAAATAAGCTGCGGTAACGGGCCACAGTTCACCGGGAAAAAGACCGCCGAGTTCTTTGAAAAGTGGCATATCAAAAGGATACTCTCCACGTCCTATCACCTTGCGGGCAACGGCTAGGAAGAGTCTTCCAATAAATCAATATTGAGCATCCTGAAAAAGAAACTCGAGAACAACAAGGGACTGTGGCTGGAGTTGCTACCCGAAGTGTTATGGGCATACCGTACCACGCCGAAAACAAGAATAGGACAAAACCATACTTAATAGTCTATAAGACTGATACAGTGGTACCGGTCGAGGTCGGTGAGCCAAGCCTAAGATATTCAAATGAAAGCGGTCCAAACAACGATGAAAGCAGAAGACAAGACCTCGACGAGGCCGAAGAGCGAAGAGACATGGCCTATGTAAGAATGATAGCAAAAAAACAACAGGCAGAGCAATACTACAACAAAAATCCAAAGTCAGACCATGCAAAGCCGGAGACTACGTACTCAAAGCCAAACCCCAAGCAAGCATATACCCACGACAAGGCAAACTAGGAACCAATTGGGACGGCCCATGCAAAATCACTGCAGCAGTAAACAAAGGGTCGTTCCAGCTGGGAACAATGGATGGGAAGCTGTTACCAAACAATTTAAACGTTGCTCACCTCAAGTACTTCAACTTCTAAAGGAAGACGCCCCCCAAGTCGTAATCTTTTTCCCTTACCCGAGTTTTGTCCCAATTGGGTTTTCTCGGGGAGGTTCTTAACGAGGCAACGAAGAGGGCTTCTCAAAGTTCAAAGCAAGAATTTCATTGCTTGACCTCTCGACTGCTTCTCCATGCTGACCAATGAAGGAACTAGATAGACTGGGACTTCTCCAATGTATGCACGAACAGAACAAAAAACATGTAAACTCCAATGCAAAGTTGTTTATACAAACGAGTTTCTCATTTCACCAAGCTTATACGTCTATACACTACTCCAGTCTCGACTAGAATTTGACCCCGTTCGAATCAACAAGAGTTAGCCTTCGACCTCGCTCGAATTGACTCATATTCTATCTTGCTCGAATTAACAAGAGTAAGCATTCGACCGCGCTCGAATCAACTCACATTCGACCTCGTTCGAATAAATTAGAGTTAGCATTCGATCTCGCTCGAATCGACTTACATTCGGCCTCGTTCAAATTAACAAGAGTTAGCATTCGACCTCACTTGAATCGACTCTCATTCGACCTTGTTCGAATCAACTAGCGTTAGCATTCGACCTCGCTCGAATTGACTCACATTCGGCCTCGTTCGAATTAACAAGAGTTAGCACTCGACCTCACTCGAATCGACTCACATTCGACCTCGTTCGAATAAACAAGAGTTAGCATTCGGACTCGCTCGAATCGACTCATATTTGACCTCGTTCGAATTAACAAAAGTCAGCATTCGACCTCGCTCGAATTAACTAACATTTGACCTCATTCGAATCAATGAAAGTTCAGTATTTGACCTCGTTTGAATCGACTCACATTCGACCTCGTTCAAATTAGAGCGTTCGACCTCATTCGAATTAGTATAGAATCATATTCGACCGCATTCGGATCTAACTTACGCTCAAACCAACCTGAATTCAATTTATAATTTCGTTTGGAGTTAAGTATGACAACATGGGACTTCACCCAAATTCAATCAATGACACACTCGACCATGTTCGAGATAGCGCATGCCAATACAATTCCTTTGAAGAAAAATAAGAAGGACAAATAACCTACAGCAAAGGGTTGTGGTCATTCCATTCCAAAAAAGAGATATATCTTACAAAGGGCTAGAAAGATGCCCCCGCACACATAACTAAAAAGAAGAAAAACACAAAAACTAAGTACAGAACACTACTCCGTGTCGTCCCCGCCTTCACCGCCCGGTCCCGCATCGCCCTCTCCACCATCACCCCTGCTGTCAGGATACTCCTCGTCATACCAAGGGTCAGATGCAAGCCCGTCCAAGTCCTCTCCATCCTCACCGGTCCCCGGAGTAGCTGGGTCATAGCCGTAAGCAAGCCTAGCTTTGTGTTCCTTGACACGAGCCTCTTCGTAGTCAACCTTAGGAACCTTCCCCGTCGTCATCAAATTCCTGTAAACATCCAGCTGAGACTCGGCATGAATCCACATCTCGTACAGATGCTGTGGAACATCAAGGAAATCAGAAGCTCGAGAGGAAGACGGTTGGGTCAACAGCTTTGCCTTCTTGACCTCAAGAATTGTGACCTGTTCCTTCAAGGCAGCAACTTCTCTCTCAAGACCGCCGATCCATTCAGTAGACCTCGCCTCCTTATACGTGGCTTTTTCAGCATCACTAGCATGTTTGGATTGAAGGACACGAATAGCGTCCTCCAACTCGACCACCTACGCCAATGCTGCCGCTTTAGCCCCTTCAGCTCTCTCCATCTCCGTAGCCTTTCCAACCAACTCGTCACGCAAATCATTGGCCCTAGCCATGTTCTGATCGTGCTCGGCCTGCAAGGATGACACCTGAGCTTGGAGGTCGACGCACTCAACAATGACCCCCTTGTTCACTTCAATCTCATCCTCCTTAATCCTGAGCACCCCCTCGAGCTAGCTGCATCGGCCAATGGTTCGTACGAGCTCGTCATCTTTCTGTTTCAACTCCTCTCTGAGAGATTGGATATCCCCCTCCCCCCGGCTCAGAGCCAAGTACGCATCACACGGTACCTGTCACGGATTCGGCGGTACTTTGTAACCATCTTCATGAAGACCATCTTCTTCTTATCTGCTCGGCGGGCACTCTCAATCTTTAAGATGAGTGTCTAAAAATAAAGATAGCAAGCAAGAAAAGAAGAGGATGGCCATTAGGAGCGCCAAAAAAAAATATACGAACGCGAGATACAAAAAAAGAGAAGAGAAAACAATAGAAGCAACTCACCCATTGAGCCAACCCGGATACACTCAACGATAGGTCAGTATACTTGAACGACTCAAGAGTCCTATGCTTGACGCTAGAACAAAGAAGCACCAGAGCATGGACCATGCTTTCCGTGCTGGTCATCAAGTTGCAGTCCAAAGGAATAACTATCGAACGAGAAGTCCCATCGGTCCTCACCTCGACCCGGGTAAGCCCCTCATCGAACATTCTCTCTTCCTCGAGGTCAACGTCGGAAATCGTCGACAACCACGCCTCTCTCCGCCTCTTCGGTAGAAGAAGGAATGTCGACTGTCACGGAGCTTAAAGGATCACTCCCTGGCACGACTGAGGCAGCCACTGGCGAGGAAATAATCTCAGCACAAGGAGCCGGGATCCCGATATCCGAGGTTATGCCAGTGTCGTGCACAAACACGGTGAGCTCGGTCTCACCACCCACGGAGCCTTCGCCCATCTCCACACCACCTCCGGTCCCAATTTGCCGCCTCTTTAAGGGAACATTTTCTTCCTCGTCCACCGACGGCTCATCCACCAAATGGAACAAGGGTGGGTCCGCTGCCCTTGCCGACTGAGTAGTCGCCCTACAGACAGATCTACGCGAAACTGGAATCTTGGATGAGGTGGAAGGCTGTGCAGACTCGCCCATGGTCATAGCAGTCGAGGGCTTGACCAAAGCACCCGATTGGCGGAATGCGGGGGTGGGAGCCTTCGTTTTCTTTGGGGCTTTCCGACCTGAAAATAAGGGAAACGACGTAAGCAATAAGAAAGGGCGGCACTGAGGCCCAAGTAATGGAGGAATGGAATGACTCACCAGTTGAAGAAGGTGGGCGCCCAGATTTCTTGTTGAAAGACGACCATTCACGGATCCCCACCGTGTGGGGCAAAATTTGAGCCACCCAGTTTCGGATGTCGGCGACTAACACAAAAGGATACCTCTCGGCTGCAACATAAAAGGCGATTAGGTAATCCAAGAGAAAAAGCAAACGACCAGCTAAATAGAATACTTACGGCCAAAGTTCCTCGCCTCGGGAAACCCTGCAGGGTTCGCCACCACGTGCTCGGTCTTGATATCGAAATAATCGATCCTAAACTTGCGATTAGCCTTATCGTCCATCTTTACCACCAGCCCCTTGGTTCCTCTGTGGCGGAGATGTATCATTGCCCCGGTGAAAGCTCAGAGCAAAAATATACAGCAAATGGTGGATGGAAAGTTCGCGGCCGACCAACTCGGCGTACTTTATCAACATGAGAAAAAGCTTGTACATGTAAGGAGAGAGCTGGGCCGGACATACGTTGTAGTAACGGAAGAACTTCTCGGCTAGCATGGGGAAGAGGAAGAGAATAACCCACCAGAAACGGGTACACATAAAATGCACATTACCCGGGATGGTGAACGTGGACCACATCGTCCCCGGTGGGAACCAAATCGACATGAGCAAGGATGCCGTAATTAGCCCCGAGCTCA